CTGCTGCTGCTGTATTTGTACTTATTTTTCTCTCTTGCTGCACATTCGGTACTCTAGGACTGCTGCTGCTGCTGTTGCTGCTGCTGCTGTTGCTGCTACTGCTGTTGCTGCTGCTGCTACTCCTGAAATTGCTGCTGCTTTTACCGATACACGTGCATTTGCTGCTGCTGCTGCTGCTTTTGCTGCTGCTGCTTTTGCTGCTGCTGCTGCTGCTGCTGCTGCAGGTCCGAGGGTTCAGAGGTGGGCGATGATTACTCTGCCTTTATAGCTTCGCATGCAGCAGCAGCAGCAGCAGCACCAACAGCAGCAGCAGCAACAGCAGCAGCAGCAGCAACAGCAGCAACAGCAGCAGACAGTACAGGTCTTGCGTCTCTGCGTTGGCTAGAGCAGCAGCACCGTGCGCACAGCAGCAGCAGCAACAGCAGCAGCAGCAGCAGCAGCAGCAAGCGAGCTCGATCTGCTGCTGCTCAGCTGTGCGGTAGGTTTCGTTGTGCTGTTGCTGCTGCTCGCAGCAGCGCAGCAATGGAGACCCAGTGGCTGCTGCTGCTGCTGCAGCGGCAGCGGGACGCAGAAGAGGCAGCAGCAGCAGCCTCGCGCAGCAGCAGCAGCAGCAGCAACAGCAGCAGCAGCAGCAGCAGCAGCAGCTGCCTTTTAAAGAAACGGCATCCTCTTATCGATGGTATCCCTAGGGCTGTTGCAGCAATGCTGCTGCCACCAACAGTTGCTGCAGCAGCAGCAGCAGCTGCTGCTGCTGCTGCTGCTGCTGCTGCAGGCTGCGAGCCCACGCATAAGCAGGAGCAGCAGCAACAGCAGCAGCAGCAGCAGCAGCAAGAGTCTCAAGATTCCTTACCTGACGAGAATATCTGCAGCAGCAACACGAGCAGCAACAGCAGCAGCAACAGCAACAGCAGCAGCAGCAGCAGCAGCAGCAGCAGCAGCTATGCAGAAGCAGCAGCAGGTGGCTGTAGAAACAAATGCGGTTTGCTGCTGCCGCAGCAGCTGTTTGTAGCTCCAGCAGCAGCAGGAGCTCTCCTCATAGGCCGCCTGCTGCTGCCTCTACAGCAGCAGCAGCAGCAGCAGCAGCAGAAGCAGCAGCAGCAGCAGCAGCAGCAGCAGCAGCAGCAGCATGGTGAGTGCGATGATGTGCGCCTCGTTGTCGGCGAGGAGCTGTGGAAGTTGCTGCTGCCTTTCTTTCCTCAGCAGCAGCAGCAGCAGCAGCAGCAGCAGCAGCAGCAACAGCAGCAACAGCAGCAGCAGCAGCAGCAACTTCCACCGCTGCTCGTTATCAGACCGCAGCTGCTGCTGCTGCAGCACAGGCAGCAGCTGCTGCTGCATGATGGCGTTTTTTGTATTGTTTAATTATACTAATAAATTAAATTTATATTATTTTCTTTTTATTATATAACTA